AGGAAGATTGTTTGACAAGATGAAGGAAAGTACGGGTATCGTAGCGGAATAGGGAAGACTTGAAGTGCAATAGAGACGGGTCAAGACAAGAAGGCTGATCTTTTGCGCCGTGAGGTAGCGTGGTGTGGCCATGTTTGTTTGGCGGTTTAATGCTTGTAGCAGAACACAGCGCTGGGCGTTGACGGTGTCAGCGTTGGCGATTATCGCCAACAGAAAAACCTTTGTCGTGTGATTCCGCGCAATATGTGCATTGTATCCAGGTAAGGCGATTGCTGACTGTCAGGCAAGGCAGCGACGTCCAGGATGTGGTGTTTGCTGGAGGTCGTGGGAGGGAATGAACAACCGAGGCGGCGCGCAGCGCGTACAATACTTGTCGCGAGCCCCAATCACTACCCGATTGGTGCCTAGGTTACCAAGCCATCAATTTGCCGGCGATCTGGCGGTACAGACTTCATTTCACGACTGTATACAAGATTTCATAGTTTGATATGGATATGAACGTCTACATCTATGCAACTGTTTCCCGTGACGCATGGCCAAATCCTGAGTCTTTCCTCGCGACCTTCTTGAGATCGTTTGCACTTGACTGCAAACGCGGCACAGGAGCGCTGTTCAGAAATTCGTCCTCGTTTGTCGCATTTGTTGCCCAAATCTTGCTAATGCTCAGATCGTAGGGCCCCGGTATGCGGTCTATCAAGGATATGCCCACCGTCCTCACCTTCTGTGTCAACATCTCCCTCTGTGGCTCTACGACCTGCCCATGGTTCGTCCGCACGAACTCGTTCCACCTGATTAGAATGGTTTCCCACTCGCCCGGTGTCTTGGAGTGCAGCAGGTGCTGGTGGATGTCTGTAGGAACAATCGACTCGGTCTGCACGTTGACAAAGTACTTGCGGCCGTCCGACTTGAACTGGATTGCGAGGAAGTTGTACATGCTCACGTCCCACAGGGACTTGCCAAAGATGGTGGAGCCTCGATCAAGTGTCCTCCATCCGGCATAGCCCGTTCTTTGGATGTGTGGCTGGTTGTGTGGCAGTTGTGTGGATATGGTGCCATGGAAGCGGACGTGGGGGGGTTCCGTCTGGGAGACAGGATGGTGGTCGAAGTTGACGGTGGAGAAGCCGCCGATGTCTTTGTCGCTCATGCGCTTGCATCGTTCCAGATCCTCAGCGTGGTCGAAGTGCATAAGCGGAAAGGGCTTGGACGGGGAGCGCAGGCCCTCGAGCTTGAGTGCTGCGCGTGTCAGTGGCGGCGCATGCACACATGCAGCTGCAGAGCTCACCGAAGTTGGAGAGGCGCTTGAACTCGTCCAGACTCCGCTTGACGAAGCCAGGCGCGAGGCACGCCGATGTTGGTCGCATGGCTGCGTGGGGTGTGTGCTCTTCCCAGGGGCCTCGATGAGCTCACAACGCAATCCATGGCACTGGGGTGTGAATGACGCCGCGGTAGTCTCGCCAGCCGCTAGCCGCTTTGGATGACCATTCCAAAAATCTGGGGACCGCTGCATGTGCAAACACATGCCACCACCCTTCACTGCCCGGCGCGACGACTTCCCCTGATGATACCACAGCAGCCGACACCCCGAACCTCCGACCCTTGACTTTGCGTGCGCCTTCCTCAACCCACGCCGCCACCAATCGCCACGCGCCTCCCCTGCCTCGATGCCACTGCAAGAAGCACCCAGACCTCGAGGCCTCCGAGACGCCACAACCCAGCCGCTGCAACCACTGCCCCCTTCGTCGCGAGAGCTGGGAGAAGTCACCCCTCCAAAACAGCCAGATGGGACACCGGTAGCTAAACAAGATGTCAAGTCTGGAAAGTCGTGGGCGCATTTTGTCGCCGGAGGGTAAGACTACAGTTCACTCTGGACCACGCCTTGAGGACTAACACTGTCACAGCCTGGGTGGCATGGCCTCAGCAACCTTGACAGCCCCGCTCGATGTCCTCAAGACTCGGCTGCAATCCACCTTCTACCAGCAGCATCTCGCCGCAATGCGCACCGCCCGCGGCCTGCCCCCCATCGAGACCATGTCCTTCGGCCGCAGCTCGCTACTGCACATACGGGAAACTGGAGAGATATTATGGCAGGTTCCAAAGGCAGAGGGGTGGCGAGCTCTCTTCAAAGGACTGGGACCAAATCTCATCGGAGTAGTCCCCGCACGCGCAATCAACTTCTTTGCATACGGAAACGGCAAGCGTCTGATCAGCACACATTTCAACAATGGTCAAGAGGCAGCATGGGTACATCTGTGTAGTGCAGCAGCGGCTGGTATCGTGACTGGGACCGCTACGAATCCCATCTGGCTGGTCAAGACACGACTGCAACTGGACAAGAACACACACTCGGATGGCCGCGGGCGGCAATACAAGAACGCATTCGACTGCACCATGCAGACCATACGGAAGGAGGGTGTCCGTGGCTTATATCGCGGATTGACTGCAAGCTACTTGGGCGTTACCGAGAGCACATTACAGTGGATGCTTTACGAGCAAATGAAGCTGTCATTAGCACGGAGAGAAGAGCGCGTCATTGCTAGTGGCAGACCGCCAACCGTGTGGGACCAGACTGTAGCATGGACTGGCAAGCTGACTGCCGCTGGATCTGCCAAATTTGTCGCAGCGCTCATCACATATCCCCATGAGGTTGTGCGAACGCGTCTGCGGCAAGCACCAATGGAAGATGGCCGACAGAAGTACACTGGCCTCGTTCAGTGTTTTCGACTAATATGGAAGGAAGAGGGTATGGCAGCACTCTACGGCGGTCTGGTTCCTCACATGTTCCGTGTGGTACCTAGTGCCGCCATCATGTTTGGAACATATGAAGGTGTGCTCAAGTTCCTCGGAGAGAGCAGTAACATGTGATTACCAACGCCGGTATAGAGGTGGTGTAAACATGTATAGGACTGGATGCATACAAACGGCGTTATGAAAAGTTGGGATTTTGCGACGCATACACGGCGTCTTGTATCACCACTCTGCTCCTGCCGAGCATGTACTTGTATTATGTTAGAAAGATGGAAGAATATATGACGACATGAGATTTGCGCATAAAGAACGGAATTCGGCTTCCACTCGACCAAGTGCACTTGAACAGTATTCCTGACCAGAAAACCATCTAGTACTCTCTGCATTGGTCCTTGTAATTTGTAACTTGCTTGTGAGTGTGCAAGTTCAGCAGGGCACGGTGCGACCCGACCAATCGCACATGTACCTCACTAGCGCGAACTTCGCGCCCGAACATTGATCGACTTTGACATATTAAGCATCCTCATCGCGAACGCCCAACGCTCGCCCCGAGCATAAGCCAGCCCCCCGCAATGTCCTCACAAATGCCACTCCGGAGCATACGGATACCGGCGCTGCAACGACAATGTCTCTTCCTCCGCCACCAAACCCTCCTGCACGCCGCCCAACCCACCATAACCCACCCATCCTCCCGCCGCGCCTTCTCCAGCACCCCGTCACACCCAGCAAAGCACAGACAACTCGGACAAGATAAAGCGCAAGCCATAGCTGCAGCCCGATCCCAAATTTCGCCCTCACCAAATGTCAACTTTGAGCAAGCGCAAACCAACACAGATGCCATGGCGGAGGACATTGGTCTGCTGCAAAATACTATCGTGAGGGCGCCATTCTTGGACGTGTACAATGAATCGCCCGGCCTCGGAGGGGTCCTGAGATATTACTGGGAGATTGTCAAGCAAAAGGCAACAGGTCTCTACTCGTAAGTTGGACTTTCTTCGGGTTAGGACCGGGCCTGGGACATGAGGGGAGAAGCAGAAGAAGAAGAAGGACAACACATCCGAAATTAAAGTTGAAAGCGTATAGGACTAACCTAAACCCTTAGACGATACTACTACCGCGATTGCATCCAGAAGTCCGGCTGGACAAAATATCTACCCGTCGACCTCTTCCATAACACACAATACAAAGTCCTAGCCAAGAGATACTACCAGCACATCTACAGAAGCTTCGCCTCGTACGTCTCTCCCGAAAATTCATATGACATACTTTGCAAACACACTAACACAAACCAACCAACAGAGGCAACGTAACGCCCCTCAAGCAAGTATGCCTACCACCCCTCGTAAAGAAACTTAAGCAACGAATCGCCGCCCGCGGCAAGACGACCCTGAAATGGAACCTGCACGAATTCAAATCCGCGCGCGTAATGAGCCACCGCGCGTCGCCCTTGGGCGAGCAGACACCAGACACAGCGTACAGACAAGTCGTTGTACGCCTCGTATCCGTTCAATCCGTCGAACGGTCTACGCCGACATCGCCCAAAATTTCCAAGTCTCCCATATCTGCTGCTCGGCTACCCTGGGTCCCAGATGCTGCGCGCCAACGAGCGGAAAAGGCACGTCAACAGAGGCAAAAATCCGAGGATGAAGTGGAGACGGAGAAGCCGGTCGCCAAGAGCGACGAGGCGTTTATCGATAATGGAGTTAAGAAGACTGTAGTCGAGTATCTGGTGTTGCAGAAGAGAGTCATCAAGGGTACGGAGGAGGACTGGAAGGTCTGGGGCTTCACCGAGGCGTCCACGCCGAGTGTGCTTGCGAGAGAAGAGCTGTATTGGTCGCAGATGCTGAACGTACAGGCTGGTGGTGCTGTATAGTGTTGGTAGCTCTGGGGATAGACACGTTGTAACAATATTTGTACATGTGATGGACATCATGAGGGCATGTAATTGTGCCTAGAAACTTCAGACGTAGCCATGTATGATCTGGAAACCCAGCTCTGAAGCTGCAGATATGCGCTCCACTCTGAACCGGACATCACGTGGAGCATGCTACATGAAAAAAGTCCACTGTGTAGAGGAAGGTGGTCATGTCATTTGAGCTCTTGCCAGTAGCAATAACGATAATCCAGGTACACGCATTCATTCGGCGCCCAGCATTCCACTGCCGCGCATGTGCTCGAACCAGCCTCGTACTCCGCCCCTCTCTTCATCCTGGTATAGAGGCGTATGACGCAAGCTTACAAAAAGCTGTGCCGCTTTAGCCGTGCCACGGACGAGGGCAGCTGGCATATCGAGGAGGCACAAGGTAGTAGTCATGGACGACTAGAAACCGTGGACCTGATTTCTGATTAGACTGTGACTCGATGCTAAATCGTGCCGGGCTGTGACTCACCTTGATCGTCTTCGCATCGAGACCAAGTCCCTCCTTCTTGTCGGTCAAGAAGTCCTGGACGTCTTTGCGCTGATCGCCCTGGAGTTGGACGACTTCGCCCATCTCGGCGTCGCTTACAATGGTGCCATTGCAGGCAAACTTCTTTTTGATCACCTTGAGGATCTTCTTCTGGTCAAATTTCTTGGGGAGACCTTGGACAGTCGTCAAGGTCTTGCGGCCATTGCGCTCTAATGTCGTGTTAGCCTGGTGCGGCTAAAGAATAGCGTATGGCAGATGCGGGCCGTTATGGGCAGGAGCGAGGTGTGCGAATGGGTTGGGTGCGTGGTGAGGTTTTTGCATCAGTGGGCAAGGGCGGTGAGGGACCTACGTTGGATACGAATATGAATGTAGTCCTGCTGAGTCTGCTTGACCTGGCCGGTATCTTCATCCGCTTCCGCGAACGGGTCTATGAATATCGTGTCAGTAGCTGCCTGGTATGCGCCTCGAGGGTCACGACTTACCGAAGGTCTTGAGGTTCTCGATGGACATACGACAGTCGGTGAGCGCGCGTGTAGGTGGGGGGTAGTTGGGTATGGATGCTTTGGGTAGCGGCGATTTCTTGGGTGGGCTGGGAGTGGAGTTGGGGTGGTTTTGGGGTGGTGACAAGTCGGGAGGGTGCAAGTGAGGGTTCCAAGGTTTGTAGCGTAGAGCAGGCTGAGAGAAAGAGGTGGGGAATGCGGCGGGAGAGGAAGGCGAGCCCCGCCGTGGTCTGTGCGCGCCAAAAGGGTGATGCTTGCCGTTCAGGGCTCGGTACCGGATGCGAGGCTGGAGGTGCGAATGAGACAAGACGAGGGTAGCATGGGACACATGGGGCGTGCAAGTGATATGGGTATTACGAGCGAGCTGACATGTATTGTCGCTTGCTCGGCGAGGACGTCGAATTATACAATTACACGGTACCGTTGCTACCTGAGTACCGGCTACGCACCAACCTCTCCTACGGCGGCCTACGACGGCGGCGCAGCAGCAAACGCCTCCGTGCCAGATGCTTGGCCCGGCCTGATAGGTGGTGGGGGGAGGAATATTGACGAGTAGGTCTGTGGTACAGCATCAACACGAGATCTGTCGGAGCCAGGGCCGAACTTACAACGAGGAGCGACATGGCTGTGATCTGGTTAGCTGTCTGAGCAAGCACAACGGGAATGGGCACATACCAGACATGCCAACCTGGAAGTAGGCGGGTGTAGTCGACGTCTTCTTCTGCTCGGGGGTCTCAGCAAGCCACGACTGGATAGCGAATACTACAGCAACCCTGCGTCGAGTCAATTAGGGAACGTGGCACAAGATGGGGAAGCCTACCAGCCGATCATCCTGTGCAGCACGCGTGATGTCAGTCATGGAGCTTTGTGCGCATCTGGGTGTTGCCTACTTGTTCCGCGTGAAGATCTGGGACACGATATCAGCCGTGCAACATGGGATTGGGAGAGCAGCACTTACAGCAGCCATGGGCAGTGTGCTCGAGAGCGTGCTCGACATGTCGTTGTCGTCCTTGGCCTTCTCTGGCTCGGCATAGGGCACGACTGCAGGAGGAGGTGCGTTAGACACGTGATCAATGGCGTTGGGATAGACGGGTCGAGCCGTGGAACCCCTATGAGGGCGCGGTGCGGCATCACATACTCAGGTCGGCGCGGCGCATGTCTTTTCTGGAGGCCATCGTGGAGCTGGCGGTCAGGTGTCGGGCAGGTGTAGGCAGGTGTGTGGGCGGGTGGAGATGGGTGGTGGAGGATAGGGTGCAGCACTCGGACTGGGCGGCGTGAGCGGCGGCTGTGTGTCTTGCTGGGCCGGCATGGCGCTGGCCCCCGTCGTAGTGCGTCGTAGTGTGGATCCCTGCTCGCTCTATCGTATTACCGGGTGATCGACTCCGCTGTTCGCAATCCAAGATAACCTCAGACATCACGTCAACCGTCGCTCCCTCGACACGCCTCGCTCTGCCCATCAGCCCCATCCGAGCCGCACCGCCGTCCCTCCTTTGCTGCCCGCGTGTGAGGCTCGCACATGCCGCCGCCCCATCGACGCGGCTCCTGACCTCGCAGCCCTCGTCGCTCGCTCCCTTGGCCCACCCACTGCATGCGCCTGATACAACGATGAAGCCGCTGTGTGTGCGATGACTTCTCGACCTGGCCCGGGGATTCACGAATCTCTACAGACTCGTGGCAGCGCCCTGCCTCCTCGGTCCCAGGTGCAGCGCCGGCCCTCGAAGCCCGCCCACACCCTCCTTCAGCCGGACTGCATCGACCCGGCCCTAGAGGACGACCGTCCACCGGCACACGCTGCCCTCCACGATGCCGCGAGGCCGCCCCCGCGAGGACGCCCGCCGCTCTTCTACACCACCATCCCGACCCACGGCACCGAGCTGCCCCTGCACTCCTTTCCCTACCAGCCGGCCGCCAACCTGCCCCAGCCCCCACGCCCGGGCTCCCTGCACCTGAGAGACGCTTCGCACCAGCGTCGCATACTGCCCGGCGGCACCGGAGTCAAGGACGCGCCCAAACCCGGTGGGCCCGAAGTCGTCGTTCCACCCGTCCATTTTCCCGGTGGGAAGGCTGCCGATCTGTTTCCATGGACCGGCAACAACCCCGAGGACAACCTGTCCGAGGCGCTAGTCAAGGCAGGCGTCAGCAACAAGCCCCAGATCATGAACGAGTCCAACACCGCACGCCCCTCGCTCATCAACAACCTCAAGAACAAGTCGGGCCTCAGCACCCTGTCGACCCTGTTCGTCGCCGTGCTGGAGAAGCGACAGCAGACGGGCCGCCTCCAAACCCCAAACACCTTCAAGCCCCCGCCGCGATTGACCCTGCGAGACTCGACCCGCGAGCAGTGGCTGCACGACTTGGCCAACCCAACCATTGGCCTTCGCCGCCTCAGCCGCACCATACCGCACGGCCTCACTGGCAAAGTGCTGCTCGAACAATGTCTGAACAAGCACATTCCTCTGCCGAGAGCCCTGTGGCTGGCCAAATGCGTAGGTATCAACGAGCTGCGTGCGCATAAAAGAAAGGGCCAGGCCGGTACCGTGACATGGGGCAGAGGCTGGACAAGTTCGGTCGAGCAATTCATAGACGGCGTCATCAGTACCATTGGCCAGGGTGATTGGAAACCCCGCATCACCTACGCCCTCCAGCTTGCGACCCATCTCTACAAAGAGCATCTGCTCGACGACGACCACTTTCTCGACTGGATAGTCAATGGCTTGGATACCTGTCCCTCGGAACGCCTATTTATCTGGCTGCTGGTCGTTTCCATATCACACTACTGGACCGCTGTAACCTGCTGTCGACGCCGCGGCAAACGTCTCGCCGAGTCATTGCTCACCCAGCTCGACAAAATCTATCGACTTGAGGATCTGCGACCTTATATCGCCGTTTTGCAATACCTTGAAAACACCATTGTCCGCTTGCTCGCCACACGACCTGCTTGCCTGCTGCTTCCGACTGCGTGGGCCAGATATTGTCCCCTCTTGCGGAATCTCGCTGAAAGGAAGAATCATGCACATGTCATGCAAGCGATCCGGAGGCTCGAGCTGAGGAACGCTAGGCTCCTGCGATCGCCGAAGAAAGTTCCTTCGGCCTCACAGACACCGGCTGGCCGCGTCTATCGGGTACTGGACTCGGTAGACTACAGCAAGCCAGTGCGTATTGAGGACTTGTCCTGTGACTGCATGGAGATAATCGCCGACGCTCCACGCTTGATCGGTGTTCTCCTCCAGTGGGCATGTACTTATTACCGAGCAGGAGCACACAGGATCTATCTGGCGACGCGATTACTTCGTCGATGGAACCATCTCGGCGCGGACGTATATGACGGCATAGTTTCACACCTCCGCGACATGACGTGGGTTGCTACCGGCGATTCAAATATACTCTTCAAAATCGTTGCTGAACTGGTCCGTTCAAAGACTTTCGCTACTGGGCGCTACCTTCAGTGGCTTATTGCTACGGGATCTACAGGTCACAATACAGATCTGTCTTCAGTAAGTCATGCCCCACAAGTTCCATCTGTTGGTTCTAACTATTCGATAGCCGCAGTCCTGGCCGTTGCGTTTGATCACCGAGATACCCCTCAGTGGGCTACCGGACCAAATCCGTACATTGCGGAGCACACTCCTCCGTGGAACCTTACACTCCGCCGAATTGGAACAACGAGCTCTTGGCTACGCTGAGCACATGATATCTCAGACCTTACCTACCTTGTTTGGCATCTACAGTACCACAAATAAGCTCAACGACGAAGAGCTAGACAAGCTCAGTTCGACGATCAAGCTCGAACTGGGCATTTGGTTGCGTCAACACGTCGCTCAGTATGCCGAGGTTAGCGCGCAGTAAGTATTCTCGTAAATTAACCATGACTTCGCTTACATTACACAGCATACCCACGAAGGACTCCTCAGTCGAAGAAACCGCCGCGGTCTCTCTTCTAACGCCCTGGGACTTTCACACTGTAAGATCGTACCTTGAGCGATTCGGAGACCTTGCTATCCTTGCGGACATTGTCGGCGTCGCAACTACATCCTTGGACTCCAGTGTTCTTGCTTCTGCTGCGGACACGATCAACTACCACGCCAGAACCTTTCGTGCAATAGGTGCCTTTGACCCACTGTTTGCTAGAATTGCCACAAGATATGCCGCTCTACGAACTGTCCGACTCCCGGATCGCGAATTACTGCTTAGTCTTGCCAGTCTAGCTCGTACAGCACAAGCTGATGGCCAACTCCCCCAGCTCCTCAACTATGATTTGAGCCAACTGAACCAAAGGAACTCTCTTGTAGCCTGTTCACCAGCCTCCGACAACATGGGTGAGGTCATGCAAACAGGATCGTCTTCCAATGACGAGATTGAACGCATACTTTCGAGTGGTACCAGCATGGATCAACAGATGATGGGCCGAGTACTGAGGAAGATCGTCAGCAACCTAGAGGAACATCTAGCCAAGGGCTCTTTCCACTTGAACAATCACCATGCATGGTTCCATCGGCTGCGCTGCTTCGATGAGCCGACCTTCGACATGGTCGTGAATGAATGGCTGCTTCTGAGCTTGATGGCTCAAAGGACTGATACCCTACGGGTAGCCTTGCCTACACTTGTTGGTTCAGGCTGTATTCCTTTGGCGTCCTTCCTTGATTCACTCAGAACTTGCATCGCAAAATTCAAGACCAATCCTTCTGAAGGTGGCCTCCAAACTGCTCTCAAAGGCATGATGATCACTCTGCCGTCTGACGCTCTAGTTCAGTCTTGTTCGCCGCAAGATGCGTATCGATACCGCTTGGAGCAACGAAAGCTCTGCTTGGAAACTGAAGGGTGCTTTACGCAATGTGTTAGTGAGGTGATTGGGCTTGCTTCAACCATTACTTCTCAGAAGGCTCAGGGACAAGTCACAGAGTTCCTACGCAGTAAGCCCATGCTGCATGTTCTGAAACATCGCATTGCCGGCGATCCAGGATGCTTGTCAAAGTTGAACAGGGATGCCTCGAGTCATTTGCTCAAGCCGTCGTTGGACAGCCTACTTGACCCCAAAGGTCACTTACGGTTGCCCGACAAGAGCCCTGAACAGCAGGTACTTGCAGTTTTTGCACTTACTAGCGAGTTGTCTTTACCAATCTGCCAAGCGACTATCGAGCAGCTGTTCTCATCTAGTGCAACCGCGCTGGGAGGTTCCGGTGAGGTACTTTCTGCTTCTCTCTTGAGTGCCATCAAGACAGCAGTGGAAGAGGATCAACCTTCAGGACTGGGGCTACTTGCGAGCTTGGACGCTGCTCTCACCGACCAAATACGACAGCACGCTGAACGCGAGATCTTGAATGCCTCTAGCTTTTTGTGTATGACATCCACCGTCAAAGTAGAGGAACCAGAGAAGGTCTCGCCCGCAGTGGTACAAAAATATCTCACTGTCATCGATCTGACTTCCAACAAGCGCGCGACATCTACGGAACAGATTGCGCTTCTCCAAGCCTTGGTCGAGAGGTTCAAAGGCATAAGTCAAGCTCTTGAAGACAACAGACTCTCTGTTCTAGAGATTTATGTTTGGTTGAACGCCCTACTTCGTCTGGTAGTATCTCATGCACCGGACATGTTGGCCGAGGCTACACATCCACATCAGACCGCTTTGATGAGTTCCATGGCTGCCTTGCTCATGCATCCGTCTTTGGAACTATATCCTACGATTACCGAACATGTCTTTGATGTCACTGTGTTCTTGGCCGATTACATAACGGATGACGTTCGGTTCCACGTTACTCGGTTGGAAGGAGCAAGGCTTGCAAGCGATGCGCGTTGTGTCTTCATCCTGGGAGTAACGGCTCCCGTCGACGGCTGGCTTGTCCTGGCCAAGCCCGTCAACACCCCTCTGGTCCAGGCATCGTCGCAACCACCGACACCAACGCCCCTTCAGAATCAGCCATCACCGTACCAGAGCCCGCAGGTACCTGCGAGTGGCTCTGCAACACCGCAACAACGCTATTTCCAACAGCAACAACAAAGACAACAGCAAATGCAAGCGGCTCAACAGGCTCAACAGATACGTGCGCAGCAGCAGTACCACCAGCACCCGCAGAACAAGATGCTGCCCGCACAACTCCAAAGAACCCCGTCAGGCCAGGCCTCACCCTCTCCACTGCAGCAAATGTCGCAAATGCAACAGATGCAGCAAATGCAACAG